ATTCATTGGGTAATATATTTATGACGCTAGTGTCAACAAAATGCAAATAAATATATGTTAGAGTTTGAACATATGCCATGGATAATTATATCTTTGCTCCATATTTTATGGATTTTTAAACTTTGAATTTGCTTACAGAACTTATGCTAACCAAAATGACACCCATTAGAATGAAAGAGGGACATTCTCATTGCTCCTTTTAAGTAGATCTTGGCATTTGAAGAAACTCAGTAATAATTAATTTTATTGTTTTAAAATTTTTATTTCTTTTATTTTTTGAGATGTATAATATAGTTTCATCATTTCCTTCTTTCCTTCATCCCTCCAAGCCCTCCCATATCTTTATTCTCTTTTAAATTCATGTGCTCTTTTCTCATTAATTGTTGCTACATACAAATACGTATGTGCATAAAACTTCCTGTATGGTAAAAAAAAAACTTATAATGAGATTTGCTCTTTTTTACCTGTTATGCTCAAATTGAATGCATCATTTTCTATGTAGAATTCTCAAATAAGTAGAATTGCTGGACTAAAACAAAAATTACTGTGGATTTCAATCATGACACTATTTCTGGTTTATTAATTAATTAATTAGTGTGTGTGTGTGTGTGTGTGTGTGTGTGTGTGTGTGTGTGTTCCTGAGAGGCCAGAAGAGTGCCATTGGATCCTCTTGAGCTGGAGTTACAGATATGCCTGATATGGGTACTGGGATCAGAATTTGGGTCCTCTGGAAGAGAAGCAAATGTTCTTAATCCCTGAGCCATCTCTCCAGCTCCTATTTCTAGTCTATATGTCATGTGACAGTAGTTTATCTGTAACACTACGGAAATATTCTTAACTCTATAGGAAGGAAGCTGGCCATTAGCTTGAGAGCTCAGTAATGCACTTAGCAAGCTGTCTCATACTATTCTGTCTTCTGGATGATGGTAGAATGAATATGATTCATAGTTGCCTGAAAAAACATGCCAAAAGTTCCAATTAATGAACTAATCTCACACTGAAGGAGGTCTCCAGGTATGCAATAGCACTTTGCCCTTTGGGTGGTACTCACTGGTACCCATTATCAGTAGCTTGGATGAATACACTCAACAGGTATCAAATGTGTGGCTAATATCCAAGTGTATTAGAGCACAAAATCAGAATCCAAACTACCGAAACAGGCTGGGGTAATGATCTAAAATCTACTTAGGTAAAAGCAATAGAAAGTTCTGTATTTTGGTCCACCAAGATCTCCACTGCTCAAGAATGGGATACACAAATTTTATGTGCTTATAACAACATGTGAGTGCAACCATTAAAACAAGTTCATTAAATGCTAGACAGCATTGTAAGAAGTATATCTTTATTGGGTAGTAAATGTTCATTGGGTCTGGCACTTGGTGAATTTGGTCTAGAAAAGTTATCATTCACAATAAAATAGGTGGTTTTGCCGCTCTTTTTTTGTCCCAGGAAAGGTGGTACTTGAAATGAGATCCAAGTGTTACACTTGCAGACAAACCCAAACAACTTCCAAAGACAGTGACTAGAATATGTGAGCAACTCAACCAAAAGCATGAATTGCGACAAGAAACAAAGGTAACTGACTTGAGATATAGTAAATTCAAGGGAGAACATAGCTATATTCAAACACCGACCATGTGCTTCAAGGCTTTCTGAAGAGTTCCAAAACGTAGGCCTGATACTAGAGGATGGAAAGTACAAGAACGTAGGCTAGCCTGACCACTTGGTGGAGATGTTGTGAGCAATTTCAATACAAAAGGAAGGTTGGACTATCTGGCCTTTAAAAGGATAGTGCAATTGTCAGATTTCCAGGACAGTTTTCATGAAGTTCTTGCTTCTAAGTTCTGGATCAGTGTGATCAAGGTTCTCCATTGGCCAGTTTCTAGCCTTAAACTATCAGACTTTTCCTCTCTAGTGCTCCTTCTTCCACCAGTTTACTCTTGCTCGATACTTTGCTTAGCAATTTCTGGTCACCTTTAAAATGCCACATTTTCCTAAACCACCAAAGAGACACGACAGGACAGGGAGTTTGTGAATTGTTTGGGGGAGGGTTGCAGGGGGCTGATGAGCCAGCTAAGCTCATCACTTCCTGGTTACTGATTGAGGTGAAGAAGGACTTTGAAGATCCAGTATTTAAGAGCTCCTGAGTTAGAGCAGAATGTCAAACCAGGCTTCTAACCAGGGATCTAGCACACTGGGTAGAAAAGGAGAGACCAAGGCACTCAAAAGCCATTTACTCAACTGATGATTACTAAGGTTCTCATTAGGCAAAATGAGTCTTTGGACAGGTTGCTGGGAACTTTCAGTCGGTTCCAAATCGAGATAGGGAAGGTGACTGGAGCAACCAGAGAAGCTGCCTACTTTTTACTGGGCCTGGCTCAACCCGTTTAGTACCCACGTGACCCCCGGGAATCGTTTTTTTATTTTTTTACAGCCTTGCATTAGGGGAAAACTGGCTGCAGGCCGGTTGCCAGGGACGCTTGCCATTAGCTCTTCAGGGCTGGGGTGAAAGAGGACACTTGGGGGAAGGGTCTGTGGCTTCTGACTGGTTAGGGCCACATGTTCATTTGCATAACTCTCTCGGAAGCTTTCTGATTGGCTGGGGCAGGAGGGGTGGCGGTGGGGTGATTCCAAGGGCCCGGAGCTCTGGCCTGAAGACCTTTTCGTTCTGGAGTTACCCGGTGGGTGTGAGTTATTGTGTGGGCAGGGGGGAGCTGGGAGGCCCGGTTTGGGAAGTTTTGCCAGCAGGTGCATGAGCCATCATCTGATAGTTTAAGAAATGTGTAGAACAGCCACAGAGAGTCAAGGCACTGGGGGATCCAGAAAGAAGGAAGGAAATTGATTCTGAGGAAGGATGGAGGCCAAAGAGAAGGGGCTAGGGGTTTTCTCCCAGGCTGGGCTTCCTTTCAGAGTGGGATCCCTTTGCTAGAGAGTTTGGATTTCCGTTTTCCGTGAGCTGTTAATCACATTGTTAGGACCAAGTAGCAGAGAAAAGCAGGATTCCAGCGTTTAATAACTCAAAACAACTCCAGGTTTTCATCAGGGTGCATTCTTGAAATATCCAGAGAGTCTGGGATGGGGTCAAACTACATTTCAAATTATGAGAAAAATTAACTACTGGAAACTAGGTAATCTGTTTTTCCCAGAGCCTTCCTTTTTGGATCTCATCTGGCATAAGGTTTAAAACAAGCCTGCACTGTTTTATACTCTCCTGTGCCGAAGAAATGGTGGTGATTGGGTGTGCGCGTGGAGGGTGGGGGGGTGGGTATCTCTGGTTCATCTTAGCCCATTTCCCTATATTTAAGGGTTCAGACTCTTCACATACAATGCCTCTAGATTAGAATGAAGTCCTATACTATACCAAGTACAATTAATCTCTGTACTTTATAATGTACACAATGGGAGTTTTACCTGCATTAGCTCAGTGAACCCTAACAATGATCTTTGCCATGACCCAAGAAGTTCCTTTCTATTGTTAAAGAAACACTGGAAAAATGTCTCACATGGGACATACTCGACTTTGTTGACAAACGGAGAGGCTGGAGAAGTTTACAAGTCTGTGTACAAAAAGAGAAGGGTGAGATGATTTACATAACGCACCTTTCCCCCTATACACATGCTTTTGTCCACTGATCTCCTTAGGGCAGATAACATTATTTCACTTCTAAACATGGAACACAGAAGCCGAAGGATGGCAAGCTCAGCCACAGCTGTAGTTCCAAATCAGTCTAGCTGGAGAGAACCTGGTCTCAAAAAAACCAAACCAAAGAAAGCACGGGTTATAATCTAGACCTAGTAAGCTGGAGTGAAGTTCCCCAGACTGGCTTCTGTGGTCACCAGTGACTTTTTCTCAGTCCTTGTGGCGAAGTTAGCTGTCCCTTCAAAGTTAGGAAGAAACGTGGTTTTCAGTAGGCAATACAGGTCCTTCAAGAAAGAGCGAGAAAGGCCTATGTGTTTCTCCTTGTCTGGGGGCACTTTTTGTCTTGCAGGGGAATGCCATACCAAAACCTCCCCCAATGATTTTAGAGGAAAGGAGGAAAGAGACTTAAAATTAGAAGCTTGAGTCATAATTATCTGTAGGAATGTCAGAGCAGACTGGAAGATGAGGGATGTAGGAAGTGAAATAGGCAAACGAGTATGGGCTGAGGCTGGAAACCCTAATGTGAAGTTGTAAAATGTTAAAACTTTTGAAAGTTCCATCCAGGGCTGTGGTACACAGCTAAGGCCTTGTTAAGTAACCCTTGCTTAAGAACTATCTTTTGAAAGGAGCACTTGACACACACACACACACTCCACAAAGTTATTGGATACACTCCCATTTTTTTCTGTTAAATGATGAGATACACCGAACACCTGGCCTAACCTCTGATACCTTTTTCTAGTTTTTTAGGGGGGGGTTGTTTTTATTTGTTTGTTTTTTGATAGCCAAAAGGCCACAAGGCCCCAGTTTGGGCTCTATTGCTATGCTCTGATCCCCCTAGTGCGAGGGGGAGGGAATCTATAGATCAGATGACAAGGGTGCACTTCATACCTGGCATGAGTAGTAGGAAAGACCCTGCCAGGAGGGAAGCAATGCCTCAGTACTCCCATTCCCCAGCAGCTGACCACAGCCAGGGCCCTGGTGAGAGCATCATGTGTCCACGTGCATCCGGCGTGTCCTGCTACTCTTCTTACATAAGACTCCCGATATGGAGTCAGGACCGCTGTGAGTCCCTCTTACCCGACGTCTAATAATAAACTGAAGCTAAGTTTCCCGGCTGCAGCCACTCTAGATCCCGCATTGAGGGGATCTTTTGCAACCCGGACACACATGCATTCCGGTCATCCCACCCGGCGAGTGCGCGCCAAGCCCGCCCAGCCCGCGCGCCAGTCCGCCCTCTGGTTTGGACGGCGGCTCCTTGGGCTCAGTGCCTCGCCCTCCCTCCCCCAACCAGCTTGCTCAGGGCTTGGTGCTGGGGCGCGGCCTCTCCATCCTCTCAGCCCTACCCTCCCTTGCCCTGCTGGGTCGCCCAGCCTTAGCCCGGGTATCAGGCGAGAGGCGGAGCCGCCCGGCGTGCTCCGCCCCCGCGGCAGAAAGGGTTGGGCGAGTGTTACTCGCGGTCAGGGCTGGGACCTTTTATCTGTGCTGCTGAAGGAGGTAGGAGGAGGAGACTTCGGGGGTGGTCCTGGGTGCCTGGGACACCTTTACTGGACTATAAATTGAGTACCTGGGATGGGCAGGGGGCTGAAGCAGCCACCGCCACCCGCACTCACACTCCGATCGGTGACCGCAGCAGCGCCCTTGGGCAGCCACCGTCCGCAACACAAACACTGAGAACCGGGAGATCTCGCAGCGCAAGAGGTGGGTGTTCCCGCCCTGTGGCTGCCCCGGCTAACATGGTTGCTTTCGTTCAGGTTTTAGAAGGGAGAAACGGGAGAGTCCGGGCTGGGGGAGATCCTTTCTCCTTTTTTATCAAAGGTCCTCTGCTAGCATCGGCGGAGGTGATACTGCCTGGTCTCAGGGAGCCACCCTGGCGCCGTCTCCAGCCAGCAGTAGCCAGGGTGAGAGCATCGCGCGGACAAGGGGCGCCAGGCACCATAACCGGGTGGGTAATGTGGTTTTTTTTTCCGTCTCTTTCTCCCAAACAGGTCAAGGCTAGACCCAGCCTCCCACTGTCATCGCGAGCCAAAGCTAGGAGCAGCCGCGCATCACGAAGGGCTGGGCTGCGACAGAAACCAGAGTTACAGAGGGCGGAGAAGGATCTGGGAATCCCGCGTCACCGGCTACAAGCAGGCTCCGGCCCCGGCCCCTGAGAGCGCTTGAAGGCAGCATCGCCAGCGGTCTAGCTCGGTTTACCAGCGTCCCAGTGTTTCCGCACCCTCTCGGCCACCATGATGCAAATCTGCGACACTTACAACCAGAAGCACTCGCTCTTTAACGCCATGAATCGCTTCATTGGCGCGGTGAACAACATGGACCAGACCGTGATGGTGCCCAGTCTGCTGCGCGACGTGCCCCTCTCCGAGCCAGAGCTAGACAACGAGGTCGAGGTCGGCGTGGAGGTAGGAGGCAGTGGCAGCTGCCTGGAGGAGCGCACGACCCCGGCCCCCAGCCCCGGCAGCGCCAATGGAAGCTTTTTCGCGCCCTCCCGGGACATGTATAGCCACTACGTGCTGCTCAAGTCCATCCGCAACGACATCGAGTGGGGAGTCCTGCACCAGCCATCATCTCCGCCGGCCGGGAGCGAGGAGAGCACCTGGAAGTCCAAGGACATCCTAGTGGGCCTGAGCCACTTGGAGAGCACAGATGCGGGCGAGGAAGATCTGGAGCAGCAGTTCCACTACCACCTGCGCGGGCTGCACACCGTGCTCTCCAAACTCACCCGCAAAGCCAACATCCTCACCAACAGATACAAGCAGGAGATCGGCTTCAGTAATTGGGGCCACTGAGGCGGGTCTCTTCCCCGCTGCCCAGTACCCTCTCCGGCTGGCTCTCCCACCCCTCTCTTTCCTCCAAGCTATTTTCTTCCTGGTTGTGGGGCGAAGGGCACACTGTAAAGTTGGGCTGTGTACGTGGTTGGGTGGGGGGGTTGTGTGGAAAAGAGGGCCTCATCGCGAGAGCAGAGGAAAGTAGTCGCCAGAGAGGGGGGTTCAAGGACCCCCGGAGGGGGCCTGCTCTGTGTTGGTGGGAATGGGACTGGGCCGACGTCCTTCATTCAGCCTGTGCCTTTCTTGGGGTTTCTTTTCTGTTTTCTTTCCGGAAGAGAAGGGTCTGAGAAAGGGCCATGCCAGGGCACAGCGCTGGGTTGCCACACATGGGAGGGCAGCTTCTGACTGGGTGCGGGTGCAGGGGGGAGGCGGGGCGCAGCCTCCTGCCCGCCCTGCTTTGAGCCGCAAGAGGAGGCCCTGGCGTTGCTAGGATTGCGTCAGTTTTCCTGTTTGCACTATTTTCTTTTTGTAACAGTGACCCTGTCTTAAGTATTTCCAATCTCTTTGCTCTGAAACTTCGTCGATTCCATTGTGATAAGCGCACAAGCAGCACTGTCGGTAACCGGTACTACTTTATTAATGATTTTCTGTTACACTGTACAGTAGTCCTGTGGCACCCCATCCCTTTCACGCCGCCCCTCCCCCACCCCGTGTCTGTAAACTGGCTGTGCGCCAGCTTGGATGAAGCTTGCCACTCGGCCAGCGAAAATAATAACATTATTATGAGAAAGTGGATTTATCTAAAGTGGAACCAACTGACATTCTATCCGTGTTGTACGTAGAATGATGAAGGGCTCCACTGTTGTTATATGTCTTGTTTATTTAAAACTTTTTTTAATCCAGATGTAGACTATATTCTAAAAAATAAAAAAGCAGATGTGTTCACTAAATCGGACAAGTGTGTGTTGCTCTTTAATCCACCAATGAGTGGCCAAATTATTAAAAAGAAATTTAGCTGACTGTAAGTATTTTCTCTCTGATATTTCCAGTGGGGGCGGGGGAGGTAGTCATCTCTACAACTATTTAGTTTTGTCCAGTAGCTACTGGTAAGATTTCTTCTAATTCAGTTCCAAGATAGGATCAGATACCCGAACAAGAAGTTCATAAATATTCAAAGTATCCGTGAAAGTACTTATTGTATCTTTCAACCAATTTGGCTAGCTTATCAAAATACTTAATTCAAATGTTTTGAAGCCTAAAAACTCCTAAAGGTGGAACTTTCACTTGACTATGGACAAGTGAAACATTAACAACATCAGAAAAAAAAAACAGCTAATGGAAATGCACTCACCTTAGAGGCCTTTATTTAAAAATCATGTATGCTAACCATGGGCAGTATTTTAATAGATCATAACATAAGCAATGCCCTTCATCAGTACTTCCCCAAAGAGTACTAAGTTCTGCTGGGCAGTGTCCAGCGTTTCAGTGACCCTCTCTGCACTTGTGGACAGCAGATCTGATCAAGGCTGCTGCCCTAAGTCCCTTAGGGATACTTTTTCAGATAGCATTATGATGCTCCTCAGACTTGATGGGACAGTGAAACAGCATTTTCCTTATTTCGTTGTCGGGGTGATAAATGCCAGACCAACCTTAGCTTTCACAGGAAGTCGTGGGGGCGATGGACTTCAATTTAAATTTTATACAACTTTACAGTTAAAAAAAATATCAGTTTTGGTGTGTGTGTGTGTGTGTGTGTGTGTGTGTGTGCTGTGCGCGCGCGCGCGCATGTGGGCGGGCATTGTAGGCCGGGGCAGTTCAAGTCCATTATCAGCTTTTTGCAGCAGTGAAAAAAATGGGGAAGTCTCCAGACTGGGATGTCTGCCTGTTGCCAGAGAAAGTTAATTGTTAATATATGAAGATAAGCTGGCCAGCACCAAATGTCAGGTATACCTACACTTGTTTTCTTTTCCCTTTGAAATATCAAAGTGCAAACAAAAATTTAAAGGCAACTCCAGAAGCAATGAGTGTTGAAAGAAACACAGACTTTGGAGCTAGAAAATTGTGTATATAAATCTCCTGCCCCTACGTATTGTGGGTATTTAACTCTCTGCTCGAAGCCTCATGTTTTCATGGAGAATAAGGAGCAGGGAAGGAAATGGTAGCATGAAAAATATTTAGAGTAAATGAGAAACTTAAAGAGGTTCTCTGGTGCCTAAGGACTCCTCCAAGGATCAAATACTCTGTTTACCATCTCATCAAATCCTCACTGCAAGCCCAGGAAGCATTTTCATTATTATGCCTGACTTCAAGTGTGGTAACAGGCTAGGAGAGTTAAATATGTCTACTGGAAGGAAAACTATTATTTTAAGTAACATACAAAACTGATTCATCCATTTCCCCAAAGTCATAAGGGAGAACCTGATTCAAAACCAAGACATACTCTAAGCAAGTGATGACAAGAACTTCATGAGATGCTAATTGAAACATGTATTCAGAAAAATCTGGGGGAACAATAGATACACAACTGGCAAAAAGCTAACAATTTTTATTTTTTAAATATTTTCATATATGTGTGTGTGCATATGCCAATGAGTCTCACCTAGTACGAATATGATTTGTTGTTACAGAACATTGGATTTTTAGAATTTTTCCAGGTTAACTAAGCACTAGTCTACTGATATTATTTTATTCAATATTAATTTTGAAGTAAAACCAGGACAGGTCCAGAACAAGACTCACCCGTTAAAGTGCCCAAGCTATTTATAGTTTTACTTGCTTTCAGAAGCAAAGGAGTATGTGACTTCATCTTTGCAGACTATTTTGGAGGCACTTGCCTCCAGGATCTCAGCAAAACTACCTCTTGCTGGGCAGTGGTGGCACACACCTTTAATCTTAGCACTTGGGAGGCAGAGGCAGGTGGATCTCTGTGAGTTCGAGGCCAGCCTTGTGTACAGAGCAAGCTCCAGGACAGGCACTAAAACTACACAGAGAAAATCTGTCTTGAAAGTGTCCCGCCCCCCCCCCAAAAAAAGAACTACTTCTTAAAGTCCACGTCCAAGGCAGTTTATGACAGAAGAGAAGGCAGAGACAGATGAGCTGGGCAAGAGGGAACAGCCTCGACTAGATTGACCACCCCCAAATATTTACATTTGATAACAATTTTCTGCACAAGACCTCCCACTTCCACTTTTAAAAAACTGGTTTTGCCCCCTCCCCCAGCTTTCAGCTTTTGCTCACATGGGCAGTTTCACATTTTACTTTCACGTATTCCTTAGCAGTCTGCCTAACGTACTCCTGCTGTTGATGTCAGAGAGCATGTCACAGCAATTGGCAACATCATTCTCTCACCAATTTGGAAACATCTGCAGTTGACAGTTTTTAAAAACTGAAAGTTAGGATTATTTGTATATACCTTATCACTTGCTTTCTTTTAGTTTTGAATAAAAAACAAAACAAACAAACAAACAAGAAACATGCCCAAGACAGGGTTTCTCTGTGTAACAGCCCTGGAACTCTTCTTTGTAGACCAGGCTGGCCTCGAACTCACAAAGGCATGTGCTACCACCTCACCTGACTTCAAAAATCCTTCTTCAATAGTGTTTCTGTCCCTCTCTCTCCCTCTTATTTAATGTCCTCAGCATTACTCAAATGTTCGCACATAGCTACAGTTGATTTCAGGCTCAAAATTTATACCATAAACCTTTATAAACAAATTAATCTTTTTATGGGGCATCTGTTAAATTTTTACTAACCATTACATCCTTTCATGATTTACTTTTAAAAGAATTTTAGATAAAGTAATGGGAAAATGAGCACTCTCTTTAAAATTTTGGAGGTAAAGGTTTTTGTTCTCAGCTAATAGAAGCATGGAATAATGGGTTTGTCGCTTAAAATAAAATGCTAGGGTTTTTCTTTAAGTTTGAAAGTTTAGCTTTTTTTATGAAGAATAAATTATGTAATTTACTGTGATCATTTAAGCTGAAAATTAATTTTCTTTAAGATCATGTCCATTTAAAAATAGCTCAAGGGAATGGAAAGCTTGGTCTTCATTTACTCCACACACTTGACTTGGACCTCTAGGTCATGTGGAGTTGTATAGAACACACTGTGAGGTAGATATCAGGATAATCTACTACCAACAACTGTTCTTTGTCTATTTTTGAGATTATAATTTAGATACAACATTTCTTCCTTCTCTTTTCTTTCTCCAAACCCTCCCACATACCCCTATCTGCTCTCTTTAAAATCCCTGGCCTTTTGTTTTTGTTTTTGTTTTTTTCAAGACAGGGTTTCTCTGTATAGTTTTGGTGCCTATCCTGGATCTCGCTCTGTAGACCAGGCTAGCCTCGAACTCACAGAGATCCACCTGCCTCTGTCTCCCAAGTGATGGGATTAAAGGTGTGCGTCACTAATACCCTGGCCTCTTTTTAATTGAATTGTTATTGCATGTAGATATGCATATGTAGATACACATATATTCCTAAATATAACCTATTGAGTCCATATAATGTTACTTGTATGCATGTTTTCAGGGCTGACTGTTTGGCACTGAGCAAACAATTGTGTGCTCTTCCCTGGGGAAGGCCACCTCTCCTGCTCCCAGCTTTCCTCAGTTGTCTGAAGTTCTTTGTGTATTGTTTTGGCCTCATGGGCTTTTCCCCATCCACGTTTGTTGGTGTCATCCTTGTTCAGCTCATGAACAACTGCTTCTTGAACTGGAAGCTAATACTTCCCCTTGCCTCATATAACCATTGCCTTTGCCCTGGACCCACCCTTTAGAGGGACTTCACAGTGTCTCTTGTCACTTTCCATGGAGCAAAGAGTCCTTAGAGCAGATGGAATGCTCAGAACGTGTGATCCATCCTACTTTTAGACCAAATTCTGGATGCTCAGACTCCCTGTGCATGACCCTAAGCCCATTTCAGGATCCTCATAGCCACCAACCTTGAATTTTCTTCCCAGTGTGCTTGGGCTGTAGGTGTTTGCACCCAGGTCTGAGGCTTCGTAGAGCTTTGTGGAAAGGACCTGGGTGCACATACAGGGCTTTCCATAGATTTGATCCTTCTCACTGCAAGGCAGATCTTGAATAGGAAGAGAGAGAAGTGGAGTGCAAATTAGGGGCCCCATTTGTTCTCTTTTGCTGCCTTCCCGGCCTCAGGAAAAGGTGTGAAGCCACCAGAAAGATGAGATGAAAGCAGCTTGAGTTTCAAGGCTTCTTCAGTTTCAAAAAATGAAGAGTCCATGACTTTTCTCCCTATTTCCCACGATACTTAGGAATCCCCTTGCTCCATTGAAGAAAGATGCTTACTTTAGAGACTAGCAGATAAAGGAAAGGCAACTCACCTCTGTACACAGTACTTCCCTACCCACCTGTCAGTTAGTGCTCCATTATTGAAAACAGCAAAGGCATTTCCTTAGGACTCAGACAGATACGTCTTCCATGAAACTGAAGACTGAACTTCTCCAATTCCTCCATCCTTTTATATTTAACTAGGTGTATTCATTTTAGGATCAAAGGTCTCAGTCCAGCTAGAGTATAAAAGTTGTTCATCTGTCTAAATGAGGCACAGTAAAGCCACAACTGTCTTCCTCAGCCCTTCCTGTTTTGATGCTCTATTTTTAAAAGAACATCCTTTTGTATCTTCTCATATTTTGTGCTTTTTAAAAATATTGTATTGCTTCTTTCTTTTCTCTTGCATCCCTTTGCCTAGTAATTTAAACATATCTACCACTGTGTCTAACTTGAAACTGATAAAAATTAAGATTAGAGAATCCCCTTACCACTTATATACATTTTAATAGATAGTAACGTTCTGGTCTTGAATTGTCAAGGAAAAGTGTTTTCTAACATTGCAGATAAGAAAAGATGAGAAAATACTAGCAAAACATAGAGGCCAGTTTTGTTTGTTTCTTTGTTTGTTTGTTTAGTACTGAAGGTCGAAACCAAGGC